CTAGAGCCGCTTCACAGATAATAGCAAGAAGAACGACAACAATGTCAAACGAAGCTGTCTGCTGAGACTCTAGGCTGTGTCGTCTCTCATGCTGAGAGGCAGTGCATGTCAAACTGTGGCTGCTGAAATTTCCACAAGAGCGAACAGTGCATTGACCATTGATTGCAGTTGAGTGCATGTGCCACGCCACTTGAGCGCTATGGCCATTGATTTGGCTGGGTCTCTGCCAAACTGACATTTTCTAGTGACGATAAAATGCGCATTAACGATGTTTTTAAACTAGAAGACAGCATTATGTCGATGTTTTATTGAAAGTGTTTTTTTGCGGAACAGGAAAGCGAATTCATATTTTTTCTATGTATATTCAAAAGGCTGATCAAATATAACAAGTAAAATAATGATATAAAATCAAATGCAAATAAATAGCAATCAGCAATAACAAAAACTGTCGACCATAGGAGAAAAGCGTACATTTTAATTGCATTAAATGCATGTACATATGTACATACTTATCTGCCTGTGTAATTCTTCTGATTGCTTGTTAAGGAATAGTTTAAAATAATATTTATTTCATAATTATAATGTGTTTGAGGCAATCATAAATTAAATTCATAAATTTTTTCACTACGTTGTCGATGTATATTTCGATCGATGTTCCCGCACTATTTTCAATCCAATCACTGCGGAATACCAGGAGCTATCGTGCTTTAGCACCTCGGTTTTAGACGCCTCAGTGTCGCACATTCATCGTCACGCTTCAGCGTTGTTTTTACACCCACGCCCCCTCGTTCCTTCCAGTTGAGCGCTTTCATGATTCACGTTGCGGCCACTACTACGTACATACGTATACGTACGCAGCCGCACCCACGTACCTTAAAAACGTAAAGCGGAGTGGTAATGCGTTCTGGTAGCTATTGTGGTTGTTGTTGTGGTAGTTCTCGGGCCTGTTGCCGAACGCAGTTTTATTCGCAAACGTCAAAAGCAAAGGCAGTCGTTTCTCCAAAATGTGGTCGTCGGCTACTTCGTCATGAGCTTGACACGTTGCCGACAATCACTGGGGCTCAAATGTGCTTACGTAGGGCATTTGTATTGTTGTTGTTATTGCGCCTTATCTTTACTTTCATTTAGTGGAGATCGCCGATGGTAAAAAGAGAGAATGCTTAGCATTAAAGCAGCAACTTTGTTACTCTCAATGCGCAGGTACAAATAAGTAGTATGTTAGAGCTGCCTTGGCGCGAAATTTAAAATAATAAGTTTAATTTTACACATTTTATATTTAATAATTAATTAAAAAAGAATATAACGAATTTATTGGCCTTTATCGATTGCACATACATAGGCACTTGACAGCATTGCAAACTTACAATGTGACGTCACACGAAGAGAACACCAAACCAACGGACGCGCGTAATGCCATGCGTTCTAGCTTCATTGTAGAATGACTTAAGCTCCTACACATGCTCACACACACATAAACGCATTCTGACAATTCCAGCAAACTTGTTTACTCTCTCACCAGCCAGCTCACTGGTTGGCTCTCAGTTGGACACTTGGCTTCGCTGGCTTGTTGGTTTGTTTTGTATTTGAACTTCTCCCAGTTCTTGTGCTGCGTTCGTGCGAGACGAGACGACGTATTCAGCGGTCCTGCAGTGTCGCTAAAAAACCTCTGTCTCAACGTGTGTGTGAGGAGTGTACGGTATATTAGTGTGTTGTTTAATTAGTGTAAAACACGCAAAGCTGTGCATACATTTTGGCGCGAAGTCTTTATATTCAAACAAAAAAGCACTAAACAAATATATACTTCATAAAAAATGGCAGGCGGCAGCAAACGCTACTCACGCAATAATTCCAATGGCAATTTCAATCAGCTACCAGAACGTGGCCCAGGTAATGAAATAAAAAACAACAGCAATTACAACTAATAATATATTATGAAGTTACTACTGAAGTCGGTGCACGTTTCTTTATCTTTAACGTTTGTCCGCAACAGTTTACCGTTATCATTCAAGAGTGGGCCGCCTTGATTCCACACATGTCGACGTCAACGTCAACTAAATGAAATGCGGCCAACGTGGCCAAAATGACAGTTAAAAAAGACATTGTATGTACATGTGTATGTATGTACATACATATGTAGATATAGATGTAGAATATATGTACATACTATATATGAGTTCTGCATTCTGCCTGCCTTGCATAAATTGTTGAAATTTTGATTGCTTATTGGAAATTTTAATTCGCTTTCTGATTCTTCTTTTTTGTCATGATTGCCACGCGAGCAGAGAGCCTCGAGCTGCCTCCCTACCTGGCAACCAAAAATACTGACTCTGAGCTCATAATTTATGCATGCATTTGCAATTTATACTCGTGGCTCAATAATTTTGTGGTCTAATTCAAGGTTATCAACGCGCCGCGTGGCTGCGCTTATCTTTGCCAAGTATTGAACTCAATCGTCGCACTTTTGTGGTGGTGTGTCGGTACTTGTAGATCTATAAGTGCTGGTGGCAACACCACCTGAAGACTTCACTTTCAACCCAAACGGGTTTTTGGGGAACATGAACGCTTTCAACAGGAACCGGTTCTTCGGAGCCTAAAATCTTTCCTTTGTTTTCTGCACCTCAGCAGCATCGTTATAGTCTTTATTCAGCCCACAGCTTTCAATAATTGTAGCAACTCTTTGAATCCAATTGATAAAAGCCCCCAACCACTTCGTAACTTTCTCTTACGAGTGTGTGAGTATGCATGTGTGTGTGAGACGCTTTCTTTCCCTTACAACCCAATTCCAATTAGTTACCTCTCATCTGTGTCTGCTCGCCTACAAATTTGTTTCAATTACCATAATCTACAGCAGACGAGCTTAGCAACTAAGCCAATGCTGTGGAAACCTTTCTAGCCCAGAACTAGTTTAGACAACTTATGCAAACATTCTCCGCGCAGCTGACGTTCTTTTTTCTATTATTATGTTCTTTCTTTTTAAATAGTAGTTTTATATTTGCCTTTCCGGTTATATTTTCAACGAATGACGCTCTAAGTCTGTTTTCTAAAACATCTTTGAAATGGAATGTTTAAGGTTTTCAGCTTGTGCTGGAAGCAGATAATATTTGTAATTTTATATCTAAAATGATATCTTTTAAATGGAAACCGGTAACTGTAACTCACAAAATGTTTATAGAAAATGGTTTCTAGATTTTAAAAAATATATACTTCTTCAACTAAATAAATATATACTTTAAAAAAAATTATTTAAATAAGCCTTATTTTTTGGGCAAATTTTGTTACGCTTCAGAAAAAACAAATAAAATGAAAACCGCCTGCGGTAATTCTTAGTGTAGATTCTCTTAAATTAAGTGATTTTTTCAGGCTTTGTTGTTATTTACTGAATGTAGAGTCACTAAACATTTAACAATTATAGCTGTCAGAGCACGGAACGTCTGAAAAACTATTTATCTAGATTGAATAATATATTTATTTATGAACTTATTAAGGATACAGGTGTTTCAGATGTTTACGCAAATTTCACCTCCAATAGGATGAAAATAGGGCTGAAGTATGGGAATTATAATCACCTTTCTCGATAGAGGAATCCAAAGTTTATTCAAGCGGAAAACGTAAAATGAAAGGAAAATATGAATTATTTTCCCACTTTAATATTTTTGCTGATAAGAAACGGAACTTATAGTATTTCTGATAGCCTTGCGAGCTTTAAAAGAAACATTCTGAGTAATTTATTATAAATTTGATTACCATGGAGTAAACAAATTAATTAAACAATAAATTTCTTTTTAGTTTCTTTGCGCTCTACATAGGATATTCGTATTAAATGATCGCCTACACTCAGAGTGCGTTCTTCGCCTATGTTTCCCATTGAAATTGCTTTAAAACAATAAACATTCTCATTAGATTGAATATATTCTTAAAAATAGCATTTAGAGCAATTTATTTATTTCTCAAACTGGAATACACCTACTGTTTAAGAAGGCTTTTCCGCTGAGCACAATTATTGATTGCCACACCCACAAACACAACAGTGCCAGCAATTGTTTGTTTAGTCTGAGGTGCCACTTTGAAAGCGTCTTCTAAAAATAGTCGCGCATAAAATTGGAAAATTAATTGCAAACGAAGACCTTTCTAAAAAACAGCCAGTTGGTAAATGAATTGAAATGTAATTGCTTGGAACGATATACATATGTATACTATATAGCTAGTTGTGGATAAAATCGCTTCAAGTTCTAATCGATTTGGCCACGTTTAATTGAATTAGCCGTTGAATGTGGGGCGAGTGCAGTGACTTTTTATCAGCAACAGCAACGAAAACAATAACAGCAGTCCGTCTATCTGTGAGATCTGACAGCTGGCAGCTTGATATCCACAAGATACTTTCAAGTTAGTTGCTGCGGATATAGCTAAGTGTTCCAATTCATATCCGTTTCGACACCAGCTGCTTCTCTCATGGAATGCCTACGCGCTCTCACTCTCCCTCTATGTATTGCTGTCGCTTTTCCTAGCTGGTCCGGAAAATTTTCGGTTCTCTAGTATAAAACTTGGCAACGAACCTCGCACGACGCACGGCGAACGCAACGATCCCACGACCCAACGTGAAAATGTCGAGCAGAACTTGTGAGTGCGGGAGGGAGGGGTTGATCGGGTAGGGTAGGGTAGGGTAGGGGGTTGAGGAGCAGCAGACGCACATCTTAAATAAAGATACAGTCGTATAGAAGCTGTAATGGCAGTGCCAATAATTAAAATTGCACTGCCAGCCAGAAAAAGTTTTTATTGCGGCAGAGCTGCACAAAAATGTATCTCGAAGATTGCATAATAATTGTCAGAGCAGCCGAAGAAAACTATACAGAAATCTGTCACAGCTGAGTGTGTGAGTGTGTGTGTGTGTATATATTTCTGTATCTTCCGTCGATCGTCGGCTATGAATTATATATCTATGCAATACTTTTGTGGTTTTTGTGGTATTATAATTTCTCTTCCCTTACTTCCTCCATTCACAGTGGAATCCCTCATCTACTGGCGTGATGTGAAAAAGTCCGGTATTGTTTTTGGCGCCGGTCTCATCATATTGGTGGCCATCTCCTGCTTCTCCGTGATCAGCGTGTTTGCCTATTTGTCGCTGCTGGCGCTCTTCGGCACCATCGCCTTCAGAATCTACAGATCTGTGACACAGGCGGTGCAAAAGACAAACGATGGACATCCCTTCAAGTAAGCTATTAGCATTCTTCATTCGTTCATGCATTCATTTATTGATGCCTTTGCAGAGAATATCTGGAACTGGACTTGACGCTCTCACAGGAGAAGGTGCAGAATTTTGTTGGCGTTGCTGTCGCACACGTGAATGGTTTTACCGCCGAGCTGCGACGCCTCTTCTTGGTTGAGGATCTGATCGATTCGATCAAATTCGGCGTCATACTGTGGGTCTTCACCTACATTGGCGCCTGGTTCAATGGCATGACTTTGGTCATCTTGGGTAGGTGTTCAAAGCCCCCTCCCTCCCCCTCTCTATCAAGCAACAACTAATTCTCTTCTTCCCCCTTTCCATGATTCAGCTTTCGTATCGCTCTTCACCTTGCCAAAGGTCTACGAGAACAACAAGCAGTCGATCGACACCTACTTGGACTTGGTACGCAGTAAATTGACGGAAATCACTGACAAGTAAGTACAGTCAACCCTGGCTTGGAGTGTCAGCCCTGGACTAAAAGCAACTCTGCCTTCTTCCGTACAGAATTAAGGTCGCCATTCCCATTGGCAACAAGAAACCTGTAGGTGCTGCCGCCGAATCGGACAAGGATAAGTAAAACAAGAGCAACAGCAGCAACAACAACAACAAAAATAGCAGCAGCAACAACAACAGCAACAAAAGCAACATGTTTATTTATTTATTAAGCATTATTTGAATGGTTTAATATTCATTAAGCATAAATAAATAATATATTTAGCAGAAGCAGCAGCAGCAGCAAATAATTCTATACTGCAATTTGCCTAAAACTTAAGCAGCAAACCAACTTCAAGAATGTAATTTGTAATACAATTATACATAAACAAAAAAAAACTGAGACCCCTCGGTATGTAATGGCTTTCGCGATTTTTGGGGCAACCATAAAAGTCTTAGCAGTTCGTCTCTTTAAGTTCTACAATTCTCCCAAAACAAAACGAACGAATTTTTTACTCGATATGCAAAGTTTATCAAATTTGTACCCCCCCTTCCTACTCTTCATTAATTTTAATTTGTTAGTTTAATTTTTGAATGCATAAAGCAACAACAACTAGAAATTATGCAAAAAAAGTCCTAAACAACATGTTTATTGTACACCTTTTTTATTAGCAACTTTTTCTTATTTTATTACAACTTTTTTGCTTTAGTTATAATTTTGTTGAGCAACAACAACAACTATGAGTAAAACAAAAACAAAAATGAAATAAAAAATGAAGTAAAAAATCGTTGAAATTGTTGGGAAGTCAGCAAGCGGCTTCCCATTTTGATTATGTTTTTGATTTTTCGTCGAACAAGAAAGTGCGAATGTAAGTGGAGAACAAAAACAAAAGACACACATCCATAATAGATATATATATAACTATAAGAAGATGATGATAATGATGATGGAAAATATTGCGTAGCTTAGTTAAGTGGCTTTTCGTCCCCCAATGAAACAGCACACTCCACGCTCCACTCCAGAAATTGTGGCTGAGAAGTTGGACCAAATTGCTAACATTATTAACAACAACTAACGATGAAAATTATGGAGGAACTTCATACCGAGCTCATGGCCTTGTTTCGTTATTTTTTTATGAAACGAAATCAAATATTTATAGCAAATATTTTAAAGCACTGCGCGTTGATTTTTAAGCATTATTACGAGTATATATCAACGGGAAAGTACATAAATTTACACAAAAACAATCAAACATGCATACATACATTCGTCTTTATTAGCTTAAATGTGTTTTATTGTGATTATTTGTTGCTTATTGTTAATGAAAGCGATGCTTCGCAAGAACGAATATCGTGTTCGGATTCGGATTTTTATAGCCAAGCACTTCAAATATATCAACAAACTAAACGAAAAAGCTAAATACTTACATATATAATGTAAACTGGACAATTTTTAGGCGTTTTTTCCAATATAACAATAGATATTTTTGCATAATCTAAAACTCGAAACGGTATTTCTATATAAATGTAATAGTAGCGTATTTAAGAAAAATCATCATCTGATATCTGATAAACATGAGAAACAAACGACATTTTTTAGTGCAACATTTTGAGAGATTTTTGTTTCGTGGAATTGTGTGCCCCCAAATAAACGATTCTCACATATTGTATGTACTATAATATCGCATAAATGTGCAGTAAACGTATTTATAATTACCAGAGCTAAGTTTGCTACGATAGTGAGGAGAATTTTCTTCAAATGGATAACATATTCAAATGCAAAGAGGATAAAAATTGATACGATCGTAAAAATTTCAGTAAAAATAAAATCTTATAAAACTAAAATCGAGAGCGATTTCTTTTTGGCATTAACAATAACAAGTGTGTAGCTATTGGTTCCGAGTACGCTTTTATTTTGAACTGCAGGTATTATTTAATTCAAATTGGAGTCAGATAGACTTTAACCAGCCGAGATTACTAGCCATTCGGAATAGTATCTGTCATCTTTCACCTTTCAAATTTTTCAGTAAACTTTTTCAAGGGGATTTTGCATTAAATGAAATACAATTTTAATAAAAATTGCGAGCGACTGTTACAGCTTTGCTTATTATTTGCATTGCCTGCAAAGCTGTGATAACAGACTGGCAGATTATTTACACAAATTCGTTCAATTTTGCGTGGAAGTCATTAAATGTCTATTCCATCAGGGACTTTTGAAATGGAAAACATTTCTGTTGCATAGCTTTATTATTAAAATCATGAATTATATCTTTTTTTTTTTTTTGGTAAAATATATATATTTTTAATTTTTAAAGATGTATAGTATTAATTAAAATTCATAAAAATTTGGCAATTAATTAAAAACAGCTTCAGCTTTATTAAAAAACGTTTCCATTTTAATGTATTTTAATATTTTCCCCCCTTTTCTTGCTATAAGCAGCTGTTTTTCAACACCGAAGTGCTGTCAGTAGTTTGACAGTTCAGGGTTTCCTAAGCTCAACACCAGATGGCGCGCCGTTCACTTCTAACGAGCAAACAAAAGCATACACCACACAAAAAAAGTAAACAATACGCATGTATGACCTTCGCTCAAGGTGACTGGGCAAGAGCGACATGAACGTTTAGTGCAGCTGTGGCTGTTGCCGGTGCAGTGGCGCTCACTCGCTCTCTCTCTAGCAATTGCAATCATATGTATGCGTGTATTTAGTTTTGCAATTGGCAAGTGACGCTGACTGAAAAGCAACGGCAACAGAAAAAAACCTCAAAAACTGATAAGAAGCGCCACCGAACAGAGCGGCAGTAAGAGAGGCGACCGAGCTCCAAGAGAGTCAAAAGCTTGACAGCAAGAGAGCCCAAAAACAAGCGGCACTGTTGCGCACAAGCAAGCTCGACAATTTAACACCCTATACCTAAAACATTTTTCCTCCACCGCAAAAAAAATACAACCAAAGTCTACTGTTGCCGATTTGAAGCAAATCTTGAATAGAGCCTACAATTTTAATAAAAATTAAAGCTGCAGAAAGTAAGAAAAACAAACAATTTTGAATAAAAATATGAAACAATATCTAATTATACTGTTAAAGAATATTGTATTGTTTACTATATGAGCATATAGTACATACCATATGGGAATATAGCTGTTTTCTTATGGCTGTTACCTACGCTTGCACAAATCAAATGTACTCTATTTACCCTTTCCGTGCAAGGTATGAGCTAAAAGCTTCGGTGACTAATAAGGCAGACGAAAAGTGCACGCCGCTGAGAAGTGGTCCGGAGTTTGCAGCGAACGGTTGATAGTCTCGTCTCGTTGTTGTTTGTGGTCGTCGTCGTCGTCGTTGTCGTCGTCGCGCATTTGGGGTTTTTCTTTTGGTGACACTGACACATTTCCACCGCCGTTCAACCCACACACGCAGAGCCAGCAGAGCAAGTGGAAAGATAGAAAAGTCAAATCAAATCATTTCGTTCAGCGCGATTCAGAGACTCGGTCGAATATGTCGAAGCCACAATCGGACGCGGATCGGCGCAAGCAAATCTCAGTGCGCGGCATTGCAGAGGTCGGAAATGTGACCGAAGTGAAGAAAAACTTTAATAGACATCTGCACTACACTCTGGTCAAGGATCGCAATGTCTCCACGCTGCGCGACTATTACTTCGCCTTGGCAAATACTGTCAAGGACAACATGGTCGGTCGCTGGATACGCACACAGCAGCATTACTACGAGAAGGATCCAAAAGTGAGTCTCGCTCTCTCCCTCTCTCTCTCTTTTAAGTTTGTGAAGTGTGGGAGTGTTGCGGTGTTGGGATGGAGGCAGGGGTGTTGGGGAGGTTGGAGCTGCGCAACTCGAGTTACTGTTTTATTGATTTTTTTTCTTCGAATGCGGAACTCCCCTAACCTAATTTTAGTTGAGCCAAATATTCCTTTCGTAATTGATGGCAGCATGAAAAGGTGTCGAGAGGTGGCAAAAGGCTCTAACGGGGCTGCTGCTGCTTTTTCCACTTTTATAAAATAATTTTTGGGGCTATTACGACATGTTTTTTTGGTGGTCTCTGCGCATTTTCTTCTTTCTCACCTTTCGGCTGCACCTCTTTAATTGACATTCGTTGTTCGCGCATTTTTTGTTTTTGTCCGCTCATTGCACTTCACGCCGCATTCCTTGGCTTCGCCTGCGGCCTCTCCTCTGCTGCTCCTCCTCTCTTTCTTTCACTTCGTTACTCATCCTGCCTTCTCTCATCTGCCACTGCTCCACATTTGCATTTCTGTTGCATTTAATTGCGCGCAAATTTTTCGGGGGTTGGGGGACACAACAACCACAGAAATTAGTTGAAGTGCAGTGTGGGATCAATGCCAAAAAAAAGAAAGAATAGAAACGAAAAGTATTCTGCAAATGAGATGACAATTTCGAGTACTTTCACTGCAAGATTCTAAAACGAGTGGGCGTGGCAATCGATCAAAACTATTTCAACTGCAATTTCAGTTTCGATAAACAGTTAGGAAAGCGCTTCGATTCAGCTAGTTTCAAATTAATTATTATGCGAAATAGAAACATGAAAATGTGCTATTTAAAAGCCAGAAACTATTATTTAATAATTTTGGGTTTCCCTAATCCTTTTGAAAACAAATTTAAATTCACAAAACTATCATAAAGACATTTTTAAGCTAAACTTCTTGAACTTTAATACTGCTTTAGTTTCCATTTATGAAACTAATATGATTTTTAGAAGCTAAATACTTCTTAAAGTAAATCGTTGTATTTATTTATTCCTATTAGTCCATTAAGGAGCAAAGGGCCGAGAGACAAATTGTTAGTTGTTTGCTATTTAATCAATAGCTAAACATAAATAAAGTAAAATAAATAAAATTTCAAATTAATTAAAAGTATATTTAATGGCACTTACTGATTAAAACAATTTTTTGTGTTTTTTTTTACTGAGCCCTTCATTTGAATGAATAAATTCATGTGTTAACTCTACTTGCTGACTTTGGTTTAAAGTTCAACTTTTTATTTAGTAGTTTTCATTGACAATAAAAAGGAATAAGTTTTGGTCAGATATGATAATAAGTTCCACACAAGTTTGCTAAATTTCACACGAATATCTTGAACATTAAGGTTTTTAATTAAAGCCTCAAGTATTTTCTGCAATAGGAATTACAATTTCAAATACATGGAAATGAAAACAGATTGTGTTAATCTCTGAAGAAACTTAAGTATTAGAATATTTAAAGAATATTAATTACTACGATTTTTAATAACTTTTCTTCTTGTAACTTAGTCCTCTCAGTCGCTTAATCTGCCTATAAAAAGGTGATGTTTCCAACAAATAGTATCGACGCGCCCCCTTCTTTAGTTCTTGCATTTACACATACATATTGTAGATCTTTAAATAAATCTCGTATCAAGCCAAGGTGCTCGTAATGGGGGTCTAAAAATAGTTCATTAATTTAGATAGTATTCCAAGTGTTCTAATCGTACAGTTTTCATATTCAAATCTTCATTACATTCATTGGCAGTCGTTGCAGAATAAAAATCTCTTACATCTCCCATACTAAGATTTGCAATTGCTATTACGTTTTTAGAAAAGTTAGTCTAAATATTTTTTATTGTTATAGATTTTTCAATGTGTTCAACAGTTCTACAGCTGGTCTGGAAATAATTGCTTATGCAAGAAATAACTGCCTTCACACTTTCCTCTTTTACTTTAAAAGTACTTAACGCTCTTGCAGCCAAACCAGAGCTACTTAAAGTGAAATTTTCCAACCACTTATTTCTCATACATACATACTACTATATACTTATAGGCATGTATCTATCTATCTACTTATGTATCTGCTAGTTCATTTGTTCCTTCTGCTTCTTTGCGCCGCGCTACGCCCACCGGTGCGGCGCAGTCAGTGTGCCAGCTGACAAGATTTAACAACAATATAAATAGCTGCTGCTTGCGGCAATCAGCAGCTGCCATTGGGGGCGGGGTGAGGTGCGTAGCTATGTCGAATGAGTATCTGCGAGATACAATATGTATTAAGTATCTTTTCAATTTAACAAAAGGCATATTTTATTGTTGTATTTGTGTGCAGCGAACAGTTTTCCTTCGTCCCACCTAAAACTCCCTCGACCCCTACTAGTTAATCATTTCTTGCGCTTAAGTTCGAGCACGCGTATCCGTCAGATACACAAATACATGCACGTGCTGTACGCGTGCTAATGTTTGCGAATATTTTGGCTCCACTCGGCATTTGTCCTTGCTGAATGTCAGTGGAGGCACTTTCGATTTCTGGTTTGCATAATTTTCCGTCATAATATCCATTAGATACATTTGTATCTGGGTGCCCAATTGAGGGCCAAACGCACACGAAATTCATTTATAATAGTTGAACCCATTCAATGAAGATACACATATGCTCGTGAATATTTTCAATTTCGACTAATTTGAGAAAAAACTACAACAACAACAACAAAAACTACGCACACACGTACATATTTTCAAGGTCAATCAAAGGTTATTAACAAAAGCAAGAGTCGTTGTCGTCCATCGTTTATAGCTGCTGTTGTTGTCTCCACTACTGACAAAAATATAAAAGGAAAAATTTTCATTTATTTTTCGTTCACTCATTGTGGTTGGGTTGTTGTTGTTGTTGCTGTGCCAGTTTCGTTTTTGTGTTCAATATTTTTATGTACACACATAGATACGAATATTTGTGTAGTATTCGTTCATGCTGGAGCCATGAAAATAGACAAAATTTTCATTACAAAATTTCCGTTGTAGCTATCCACATTGTACGGGTATCTACGAGTATGCCTACATTAACCCACGCACGCACCCGTACATAATTATAGTGTGTATCTCGCAGATACTTCTAGAGTCGCTGCACTGGAACAGCTGTTTGCGGGCAACCAGTCATCAGTTAAAGTTAATAGAGTGCTGGACACACATTGAAGAAAATGCTCGTTTGTATCTGTATCCAACAGCTACAGAGATGTGCATGTATCCAACAGCTACTCGTAGGCTTTTGCATACTTGAATAAATTCATTAATGATGCGTTGACCAATTTATTTACAACGTTACTTTGTCGACTCCTTCCCGATCGATACACGTAATCAAATGTTCATTTCTGAGGGAAATATTTCATTGTTGTCGAAAGTATGTATATCTGTTCGTGCAATTGGTCCCTTAAATGAGACAAATTGTGGTTGAATTTCAGAGATAATTATTACAAGATGTTGTAAATGAAGTAGTAGGCCATGTATACTTTCTAGAAACTCACTGTTTTGTTTGTTGTTGGCCTCTGGATTCTTCCTCTCCCTAGAAATCTTCTCATATTTTCTAGAAACTCACTGTTTCGACTGTTTTCCGGCTTTTGTCTATAATTCTGAGTTTATGTTTTCTCATTCGAAACCAAGCCTCTTCATAGTTATATTTAAGCTGATTGGTCCAATTCGAAACAGTCCTAAAGGATTGTTTAGATATGCCATGAACATCACAGTTCATTCATCTCTTCATTTATTTACATGCAAACAAAACTGTTTTGTCATAAAAACTGATTGCCTCGAGCGATAATGATTTCGAAATTTCAGGATGAATATCGTACTTATGCGAAATAAAAGTGTGTCAAATCTTTAATCTATTGAACTGTACTCGTAATCGCTTGGGTTATGATTAAGTAGCTGAACTAGTCTGCCAAGCAGTGAGAACTATTAGCTGATGGCAATTGTTATTTTTATTAGCATTGTAAGTAATTTTCTAAATCCATATCTGTTTGCATAGCTAGATATCAGATCTGTTCCCCAAAACCACACCATTCGAGTGCTTTCAGAAAATCTCATTTACATTCGGACTTTTGCACTTCTCATAAAAATATAACACTTTCAGAGCTTATCGCTTATCGGCATAGGAGTATATAATTCAATTAGCTAATTATCGCTTGAACGGCGAAACCGAGGGACAAAAACGCATATGGTGGCACAAATTCGAATTAAAAATTAGACACAATCTCTTTCTAAGCACAACAGCTGGCCCCACATAGAACTCCCTGCCTGAGCCGCAATATGGTTGGCAAGTGTTGTTATCAATTGGTTGGCGAAAAGCTAGTTACAGTTCGCTGTGGCTATAAGGAATGCTAGTGCTCGAGATTATTTTACTTTTCGAAAGTAAAACGTCATTTTCTTTCCCAACTTTTCTTGAAAACTAAGAAACGTGTCGAGCTTTTGACAAATGTCCTTTATCAGAATTGAGAACGGCTCGGTTTGAATTTAATCGCTATATAAGGGAAAGTTTTAAAATATTCACTTAAAGATAATTGCTGGTTGAAAAATGCGAATTATATTTGTTTCCATTGAGGCAAAACTTTTGATTTCGAACAATTTGATTCTGTTTGCGATATCAGAAGCGTACAAAGAGGTATATGTCTAGCTATTTATGTGTCTACTGTACTCTCCTCTACATTCTGCTCCCACTTAGTATCGTAACTCGTACTCCCCCTCTCCAGCATAAGGGTACACAGAGAATCTAATTATAAATAGGTAGTTTCCAATATCTGTGCGCCGCCCCCTATCCGCCATCCCGCCACCCGTTTGGCATCTAATGGCACGCCATAAGCGTCTAGATTGTTGCGGTTGGCATGTCGGCGCATGGCCCACTAAAAAGCAGCTGATAAGAAGTCGCAGATCCGTAGAGCTATGGAATTACAATTACATATTTGTACCTATTAACTGGCGACAAGGCTCAATCGTCAAAACAAAAATGTGTTCAAGATCAGCATAACATTGAATAGAGATGCAGCGATACGTGGTTGTCCTATGTTCTGCCATACAAACTCCACAGATTAAGGATCTGTAAACAAAGTGCCCTCGCAATCATAACTGTAACATTACGACGAACAGATTCGCCGATCCGATGACATCGCTGCAATCAATGGCTATTAATAGTTTCCAGTTACACCTCGGAAATCAGCAAACATTCGATAAGGTCCGATTAGCGATCGGGTTACGGTGACCTTTTCGTGGGCAATGCAAGCATATCTCTGTTATATATAGACTGGCGCTCGAAACTGGATCGCTAGGAGCCCCGAATGCACTTCAGAGCCAACGAATTGCCAAGCACCAAGCGTCCAAGTCGAACTGGTTTTTCTATTTACGTTTTTTCATTCGTGTTTCCAACTGAACTTCTGAAAGCATTTTCAAATCGATCTCTTTATCTCTCTTAACAATTCGCTCTTAATTAGTGTGACCAGGAGCGGCGAAAATAAACTAACAACTAAGCTTATATTATTTGAAATGCTGTGGTGGGCAGAAGCGTTCTTTTTTTACTTCTCCCAAAGTCTTGGCTTAGAAGTAGGCAAGATCCAGGATGTATCCGCTAACCATATAATTGTCTCAGCCTATTTGGTGATATGGACATCTTAGCATGTCCCCTCATGCTCCTGGGCAAGCATTCAACGATAACTCTGTGGAGATAAGCAACTCCCTTGTGGGTTTTATCGAAAAGTGGACCTCCAATAACGAAACGACTTCCCCATTTTTAATTGCAGCGCGTCTACTACCTCTCTCTCGAATACTATATGGGCCGCTCTCTAACCAATACGATGATCAACTTGGGCATCCAGAGCGAGTGCGAGGAGGCCATGTACCAGTTGGGTCTGGACATTGAGAATCTCGAGGAGATGGAGGACGATGCCGGTCTGGGTAATGGTGGCTTGGGTCGCCTGGCCGCCTGTTTCCTCGACTCGATGGCCACCCTGGGCCTGGCTGCCTATGGCTATGGCATTCGCTACGAGTACGGCATCTTCGCCCAAAAGATCAAGAATGGTGAGCAGGTGGAGGAGCCCGATGATTGGCTCCGTTATGGCAATCCATGGGAGAAGGCGCGTCCGGAATTCATGCTGCCGGTCCATTTCTATGGACGTGTCATCGACACGCCCGAGGGTAAGAAGTGGGTGGACACTCAGAGGGTCTACGCCATGCCCTACGATAATCCCATTCCCGGCTACGCCAACAACCATGTGAACACGCTGCGTCTGTGGTCGGCCAAGTCGCCCATTGACTTCAATCTGAAGTTCTGTAAGTTATATTTTGATGTTTGCAGGATGTTTATAATATAGTTCTCGCTCCTTGCAGTCAACGATGGCGATTATATTCAGGCCGTGTTGGACCGCAACTTGGCGGAGAACATCTCGCGTGTGCTGTATCCCAACGATAACTTCTTTGAGGGCAAGGAGTTGCGCCTGAAGCAGGAATATTTCATGTGCGCCGCCACCCTCCAGGACATCATTCGCCGCTACAAGGCCTCCAAGTTTGGCTCCCGCGAGGCGGTGCGTAACAGCTTCGACCACTTCCCCGACAAGGTGGCCATTCAGCTGAACGACACGCATCCCTCGCTGGCCATTCCCGAGCTGATGCGCATCCTCGTCGACGAGGAGCATCTCGAGTGGGAGAAGGCCTGGGACATTGTGGTCCGCACGTGCGCCTACACCAACCACACGGTGCTGCCAGAGGCTCTGGAACGCTGGCCCGTGTCCATGCTGGAGTCGATACTGCCACGCCATCTGCAGATCATCTATCACATCAACTTCCTGCACATGGAGAATGTGAAGAAGAAGTTCCCCGAGGACTTGGATCGCATGCGTCGCATGTCGCTGGTCGAGGAGGACGGAGAGAAGCGCATCAACATGGCCCATTTGTCGATTGTGGGCTCGCATGCCGTCAATGGCGTCGCGGCCATCCACTCGCAGATTTTGAAGGACTCGCTGTTCAATGATTTCTACAAAATGGATCCCAAAAAGTTCCAGAACAAGACCAACGGCATCACGCCCCGTCGTTGGCTGCTGTTGTGCAACCCGGGTCTGTCCGATCTGATTGCCGAGAAGATCGGCGATGAATGGCCCGTGCATTTGGATCAGCTGGTGGCTCTCAAGAAGTGGGCCAAGGATCCCAACTTCCAGCGCAATGTCGCTCGCGTCAAGCAGGAGAACAAGCTTAAGTTGGCCGCCATTCTGGAGAAGGACTACGGCGTCAAGGTGAATCCGGCCTCCATGTTCGACATTCAGGTGAAGCGCATCCACGAGTACAAGCGCCAGTTGCTGAACTGCCTCCACATCATCACACTGTACAATCGCATCAAGAAGGATCCGACCGCCAACTTCACGCCCCGCACCATCATGATCGGTGGCAAGGCTGCTCCCGGCTACTATGTAGCCAAGCAGATCATTAAGCTGATCTGCGCCGTCGGCAATGTCGTGAACAACGATCCCATTGTGGGCGATAAGCTGAAGGTTATCTTCTTGGAGAACTATCGCGTCACGCTCGCCGAGAAGATTATGCCCGCTGCCGATCTGTCCGAGCAAATCTCAACCGCTGGCACCGAAGCCTCCGGCACTGGCAACATGAAGTTCCAGCTGAACGGTGCCCTCACCATCGGCACCTTGGACGGCGCCAATGTGGAGATGGCCGAGGAAATGGGTCTGGACAACATCTTCATTTTCGGCATGACCGTCGATGAGGTGGAGGCCCTCAAGAAGAAGGGCTACAATGCCTACGACTATTACAATGCCAATCCAGAGATTAAGCAGTGCATCGATCAAATTCAGGGCGGTTTCTTCAGTCCCGGCAATCCCAACGAGTTCAAGAACATTGCCGACATTCTGCTGAAATACGATCACTACTACTTGCTGGCCGATTATGACGCCTACATCAAGGCCCAGGATCAGGTCTCAAAGACCTATCAGGTAAGACCGACCGAAAATGAAACCCTCTTTGTAGTTTCAACTAACGTTAACCATTTTTCTATCGCAGAACCAAGCCAAGTGGCTTGAGATGGCCATCAACAATATCGCATCCAGCGGTAAATTCTCCTCGGATCGCACCATTGCCGAATACGCACGCGAGATCTGGGGCGTTGAACCCACCTGGGAGAAGCTGCCAGCACCGGAGGAGACACAATAAATCAATTAACACACTTTTGATATTATTTTACTGTGTACTTTACTTTTGTTAAAGTTCGATTTTAGGCATCAAGCAACAACAACTAACAGAAGAAAAAATTAGCCAGCTCATTGTTACTATTTTATTTAATAAAAATCAACCTAAAAAATAAAGATAAACTGAAGTAAGAACTAAGATCTGCGGTTATATACAAACCTACATAAAGAAATGATATGCTCTTTCTGTTCATATCCGTTCTGTACGAATAGATTAGAAATCGTAAACGAATTAGCATCGACTACGTCTACAACGGTACCTACCAAAAACCTCAGGAAATGAAGGAAATTAAGTTTTCTATTCTACAAAACTATTTCAATGCTTCATTAGATATGCGTGTTACAAACCCTAAAATGTTTAGTAAAATTAAATACAAATTTTAATCAGCCATTTAATTGGTCTATAAAAGTTATTAAATTAATTATTGTGCTATATAATATTGAAACGTCTGCTCTCGAGAGCGTTGAAAAACAAAGTTTAATTGTTGCTAAATGTACAAAAATTTTAAAACCCCTAAAACGACAGTAAGTGCTTAATAAACATCTCTGGATAGAGCAGATGCTACTGAATTGCCGGGGTTGTTACATATTTTTGCACAAATTATTACCTCTAAAATGAAAGATGGAAATGAAATAAATAATACGAAATAAATTTGATGCAATATATACTCTAAAATGTGTTTTATTCCGAAAATACTAGCACTCTATTCATATATAATTCCTGAATGTAATGTGATAATTACTTTAATTACATACGTTTTGTTGACTCGCACATACGTCATCAAGTTTTCTGGATTGCACTGGGTCCAAATTTGCCTTTGAACGACAATTTAACCAGAATTGCCTACCAGGCGAACATAAATGGGCAGTAGGCAACTGCATTGCTTGTTCATCTAATGTGAAACAGCTGTTTTTGTTTACTTTTCGCAATGCACCGTAAGGATCGCGTTTGTTTACATTTGAAATGCAACCAATAGGAGCGCCCCAATTTGTTTACGTTTCGCAATGCACCGCAAGGATCGTTTGTTTACATTTTATTTGCAGCCAACTTCAGTTTGTTTACATTCAGAATTTAAATACCAGCCGGTTTGTTTACTTGCTGTTCACTTATGTTCGCCTGGTGTATGAGTACACGAAATCGAGCTAATTCATATTAAAACCGAAAAACTTAAATTCCCACCGACCAAGTTGAACTTTTAACGAAACTTAAACCTGCATGATCTACCAGGCGAACATAAATGGGCAGCAGGCAACTGCATTGATTGTTTACCTAATGTTAAGCAGCTGATTTTTGTTTACGTTTCGGGATGCACCGCAAGAACCGCATTTGTTTACATTTGAAATGCGACCAATAGGAGAGCCCCAATTAATGAAACTAAACCATTTCATAGGTATTTGTATGCTTTTTATTTAATTTTTGTTGTAATGTTGTTGTCGTCGTCATATATATAATAATAAACAATATATGTATCATAATAAATTCAATTATAATAAATTTTGTTAATATATATATTCATCGACAAATAGTACATCATATTTTGCTAATATATAAACCGTTTTAATGTGTATATATGTATAAAGGGTCTGTTTGTCGTATATTTAAATATCTCATTTTTTATTTATGTAAAAAACAAAATAATATATATATATATGTATATATGCATTTATGTTATAACCATTTACCGTAAACATAGAAACATACATAATCTTTAAATTTTGTTTCGCTTTTGTTTTCTCTCCTCTTTCATTGGATTTGTTTTTTCTTTTTGTTGTCGTTTTTTTTTTTGTTTTTTGCATTTTAAGCACATTTTTACAAACAATTGTTTATTCATATATGTATGTATAGTGTATATATAGATTTCTGTTGTTGTTGTTGTATAATTCACATTAATTGCTATGGAAAGAAACAATTACATTAATTAATTTAATTAGAAAAATAATAATAATTGGAATATAAATCACTTTGCGTTGCATTAGCTATAAATTTCATATATATAGTATATATATTTTTTATTATTTACTAATTAATTTTTTTCTCATTTTGTTGGTAAAAAATATACTTGTATGTTCTTATTAATTTTTAATTCATGTTTTCGATTGGCGTTTGGGGCTGTGGTTGTGGTTGTTAGGCTTGAGAGGCACACGCAATTGGTGTTGTTGCATATACTCGTATGTATATAAGTAGTATGTATGTACATATATGTATGTATGTATGCTAAGAAGAATGTGAAATGCAGGAAGTTAATGCATGGATCGAAAGTATAGTATATACATATATGTATTTATATATGCCTATATGTACATGTATATAAAGAGATGTGGAATTGTTTGTCGATGTCGCCTCCGCTCCTAACAACCTTCACTGCCGTGCCGTTTGTGGATGTTGCTGTTGTTGTTAATACGTATGTATGTTTTTATTATTTATGCATAATAAATTGTTTAATATTTTGTATAAAAAAATTGTGAGAATGAAAAAGCGTCTGCTGTTTGTTTCCGTTTCCGTTTCAAATAGGCGTTGCGTTTTTTTTTTTTTTGGTGCTCGGTGCGTTTCTAACGCGACTTGAGCGGCGATTGGAGAAAATTGTACAGCACTATATATTTTGGTAGCTATATATATAAATATATATATGTGTGTGTGTGTGTTCGTTTGCATGTGTATATATATGTATGTGTTTAGAGAGAGATTTATATGTATGTATATATATGTGTATGTATATAGTATACTAGGAATACAGCATAGTCTAATAAATTCATACTTTTCGTTATTCGTTTTGCATTTAACGCGTTTCTTTAGCTGTACCGTTACTTTCTTATCCTTCTGTTCTGTGTACAACACTAGAGAAAAGAAACGGCCAACGGTTTGTGAAGCGATTGAGAAAATTGTTTGCATATTCTTCAAAGTAATTCTCCTTGCCTTGTTTGTTATTCTGGTTGGGTTGTTTGTTGTGGTTTTTGTTTATAAATACAATATAGCACATATGGAGATTGTGTGTGTGTGTGTGTATGTGAGAGAGTGTTGGGTGTATGTGTGGCTGTATACATAGTTAGCAACAACAAATATGATAGGTAAATACTAGTTTATGTTTCATTTACAAGCATTTCTCTTATGCATCCTCCACACACACGGCATTGCAAATAACTCACAATTCTTTTCAATTATTAATTAATTTGATTAATTTGTTGTGTGTGCCCGCTCGTGTGGTGGCCAAACCTTAATCGTATGTATATGCTACATGCATGTATATAATATTCATGTATAAATGTGTGTGTGTGTGTGTGTGTGTGAAATGCGATCTTCTGTTGCAACTCGGTTTGTGATCTCTTGTGATTATTTAAATTACTTTTGATTTGTGTTGTTGGTTTTGTTTTGTTTTTGTTTAAAATGTTTGACAATATACAGTTGTTGTTTTTGCTTTGCTTCGTTTTGTTGTTGTGGTTGTTGTTGTTGTTGTTATACATACATACAATATATATAATAATATAAAAAAATACATAATTACAAACTAATTGTTTAAATCACTTCGTTGAGACATCAAGTGTGTTTATTTGTTGGTTTTGCAGTTGGTTCGGTTCGTGCGGTTCAGCCCCAAACCATGTTGACGAGTGTGGCCACCAGGAAGGTGACAAACAGAAATGAAACCACAAAGATGACCGCCTTCTCCTGATCCGAGAACCGCTTCCGATTCGTGTAAACCGCACACAGTTTGGCGACAAAGCGACGGAGCGGTCCGTGCTGAGCGGTGCTGCTGTGCGTGGTGAGGGCGTTGGTGGTGGCACCAGCGCCGTGTGGGTGATGCGCATGATGCATGTGGTGTGAGTGATGCGAGTGGTGCTGGTGGTGTATGTGGTGCGAGGAGCTGTTGCCGCGCAGTCGCAGCGAAGATGCGGACGCCACGCCCGACGACAAGGCGGCGGAGGAGGGCGCCAGAGAGGCGCCGCTGGCAGAGCAGGGGGAACCAGTCACTGCTGAGGCCTCCACGCACTGCTGCTGGTGGTGATGATGATGGTGGTGATGGTGGAGGTGCAACGGATCCCCACAGGCGTTAAAGTTGCTGGCCGTCAATTCCTGCGGCAGTCGGCTCAGATGCATCACGTCTCCCGAACCGCTGCTACTGCTGCTGCCGATGGCTGAGGCGCTGATGGAGCGCGGATGTAAAGCATTGCCACCATTGCTGGCAGCGGCGGGCTTGCGGCTGCTACGTTGGGTGGCGCCCAGTGTGGGCGGCAGCGGGGTTGGGCCGCCGCTGGGCAGCGCATGCAAATGATGGCAGGCCGCCAAGCTGGCGTCCAAATCGCTCGGCACTTGGTAGCGCAGGGCGCTCGAGGGCTGACCATACAGCAGATCGCCGACAGCGGTGAGACGCACGGGACAGACACGGAATTGGTAGCACGTGCCCGCGGCCAGATTGTCGATGGTGAACTTGGTGTCGGGTCCTCGGTAGAGTTGGCGATAGTCCTGATTGCTGAGCGCCACCGGAGCGCTGTTGTTGCTGCCGCTACTGCTGCTGCGTGCCTTGGGACTCGCTGATGTGGTGGCGTTGGCTTCCATTGGTTCCTCGCTGCTGAGCACCGCGTACTGCAGTTCGTACTCCACGCGATCGTGGAAGGAGTTCTTCGAGTGCTGCCACTCCAGGGTCAGCTGCATGCCCAGACCGGGCATGTTGGGGGCATGCTCCGTTGTTAGCAGACAAACGCTGTTCTCGTGGACGACGCGCGGCGCCTTGATGTTGGCCGGCAGCGTGGCGCTCGTCTCGAACATAAACTCCTCCGAGTAGTCACCATCGCCGGCACGATCCGTGTGCGCGTAGATGCGGAAAGTGTAGGCCGTGCGTTCCTGCAGTTTGTGAACCTTGCACATGCAATTGGTGCCGGCATAGACCACCTGGAACTGCTTGGCCCGCGTCACATACATCTCCACGTAGTACTTGGTGAAGTCCACGTTGCGTCCCACATCCCCCCACTTCAGCTTAATGTAGTTGTGGCCGGCGCCGGAGCACTCCAGCGTCGGTGGTGCTGGTGGCGCTGGTTGGGTCGTCAGCTTGGCGTAGGCCGAGAAGCTGCCGGCACCCACCGAGTTGACAGCCTGCACGCGAAACTTGTAGCCCGTCTCGGGTGTTAGGCCCGTCACCGTGTAGCGGGTGCACGCATCCGGAGTGGCAATCGTCCTCTCGCCGTATTCAATGTTGTAACTGGAGATGGAGGAGCCATGGCTGGCCGGTTCCGTCCAGTTGAGTGTCACCTCATTGGCGGTGAACTCATAGCCCTGCATGTGTGGTGCGGCTGGGACGGCGGCTGGTGTGCGAACACTCACCCAGCTAGTCATCGGACCGTCGCCGGCAACGTTGCTCGCAAAGAGTCGGAAGAAGTAGCGTGTAAATGGGGCCAGTTGCCGCAAATCTGTGCTGGTCTGCAGGCCATGGTAGCAGCTGTGGAAGTCTGTATTGACAGGAGACGCTGTGTCCTGCTGATCCTCTGTCTCAACCTCCGTCTCTGTCTCCGCTTCGGGGTCGCTTTCATCCTCGCTGCGCGCCTGGCTGGCACACTGCAGCGAATAGGCGCTGATGGGAGCACCATTATCCAGCGCCGGCGCCTGCCAGCTAACTTGCACATACGTGGCCGACTTCACAAGCACTCGGAGCGCCTCTGGTGCTGCGGGCGGAGCAGCGGCAGCGGTGAAACGGAACCATTGGGACCAGGGACCGGCGCCGATACGATTGATGGCGCGCACCTGCGTCTCGTAGACACAGCCTGGCATCAGTTGCTGAGCCACAAAGTAGTCTTGCTTGCCGCGATAGACCGTCGTGGTTGGCGGTGGCTCTGCGGCGTCCGAGCGCTCCTGCAGACTGCGCACCTGAGCCTCGAACTCGAGCACGGGAGCGCCGCCATTGTAATCCGGCTGGCTGAGTCGCAAGAGCGCCACGTAGGGGGTGGGCGGTGACTCGAAGTGTGGTGGTGGAGGCGCTGCGGGCACCACCGCTTCTGTAGTGACATGGCCAATGTCCGAGAAAGGACTGTGGCCGCCGGGTCCTTCGCAATAGGTGCGCAGCTGATAGGTGGTGCCTGGTTGGAGGCGTTCGCACATCGCCTCCGCCTCAGCGCCCGTATAGATGCGCTCGAATTTGGGGCCCGCATTGATCTCCAGGTGGTAGCAGAGTATGTCGCCACCACCTGTATCTGAAGGCGGTTCCCAGCGCGCCTTAAAGTGTGTGCCATGAATTTTTCCTTTGGCGTGCGGCTTTCCCGGCCGTCCAGGGCGTTCGGCGGCCGTCTTGTAACTCACCTCATGGGACCAGGGCGAGACGCCGGCATCGTTTTCAGCACGTAGCCGGAACTGGTAGGTGGTGGCGCGTCGCAGCTTGAGGCACTCGTATTGCGTATCGCCGCCCTTGTATATGATCAGGTAACCGTGTCCGGTGTCTGGATCCTGCATTTGGAGGAGGAAGTCACCGTCCTGGGCGCGCCGCTCCCACAGCAAGTGTATCGAATTGGAGCTCCAGGCATGAAGAGTAGGCGCCTTGGGCGCCGTTGGTGGATTACCCGCAGTGCTGTAACTGCTCACCTCCGAATACTGGGACTGGCCCATCTCGTTGATGGCCGCCAGACGAAAGCAGTAGACGGTGGTCGCCTGCAGTTTATTGATGGCGTAGTGCTTCGTCTTCGTCTTGACCAGCTCGACAAAGTGTAGAGCATTGCCCTTGCCCTCGTCGTACTCCAGCAGGTAGTGGGTGATGGGAGCACCGTTCGCGTTCGGCGCACTCCAACGCAAGTTTATGGAGCTCTTCGAGCGGGAGACAAGCTTCAGCGGCAACGGCTGGTCCGGCTCACACGGTGGGGTCTTGAACTCAGTCGGTTCCGAGACGGTGCCCTGCAGCTTCTGATAGTGGACCTGCACGCGCACCAGATACTCCTGGCCCGGCTGCAGATCCTGCACAATGCACTCGTACGCCTCGCCCATGTACAGACTCTTGTATTTGCACTGCTTCCCTGTGTCGCTCAGCAGGACGTTGTATCGCAAGTCCCGCATATTAATCAGCAGCGTGTCCGTAATGCTCGGCGCTACCCAATTTATTTTGGCGCTGCGCGATGTCACATCGATTACCTATGTGGCGAGAAGGATGGACATTAAAACGAATTGTACTTTTCAACTCTTTGCTTAAAGGTAATTGAAGAATTGGACGAAGCATAAAATATCTATATAGGGTTTGTTAACACGAGCGTACCTAACAATCTTCTTTATTCATAATAACAATTGTAAGCCCAAATTTTCACAATTTCAGTGATTATTAGAGAGTATTAGTATTCATGAGTTAAATAATACAAATGAAGCTACTTTTATACTTAAAATTGCTTTCTCCCAATTATTAATTCCATGTTAATATTTTATAAATTATCGATATTATCAATAACATGCGTATCATTATCAATAATATTGATTTTGTTTTTAAAAATAAATAAAATATGATGTGATTTGAATAAAAATTGTAATTATGAAGAATTCTTGACCTCTATTACCCGATTAATGATCGAAAGTACTATACTCGTAGATCGTTACGTTAGTAATAAATGATGACGTGTAGCTTTAGGATAGATGGAGTTTAAAGGGTGGTGTGGGTTTGTTTTTGAAGTCGTTGACTTACCTCTGGCTTCTCAATGGCCGACAGCTGCTCCACTATGGATGTTTGGTAGTCCTCCTCATCCTCGGCAGCTAGACTGGAGGTGTCTTCGCCATCCTCGGAGGTGCCTACAGAGGAGGCGCCACCGACGCTACTGCCAGTGCGTTGGTGTTGTGGTTGGTGCTGTTGCTGTGGCAGCGATGGAACGGTGGCTGCATTAGGAACGTGCGTGCCGTTACCGTTGCGTTGCGATAAGCGGCGTCCATGATTGTGCACATGATGGTGATTGTTCAGGTGCTGTGCTAGAGGCACTGTACCTGGCGGAATGTTGTTGTTACTGTTGTTGTGATGGCCGTTGATGTCGTTGCGACGCGGCGAGGGTGAGTGTGTGGGCGTGGAGACGGCGGAATCTATAAGCGCATGAAACGGGATTAGTGGAGGCAAATCAGCCACTGAGAATTACGGTCTTACCGAGTTCGCGTTGCCTCTCCAGTTTGTGGACCAATTTCTTGTGTTGTCGCTGGCTGCGCTCATCCTTGTAGTTGGGCGGCGAGGGTGAGTGCGGGGAATGTGAGACCTGTGTTCTGGGTGGTGGCTGCTGTTGTTGTTGCTGCTGTTGGGGTGGTGCGGCTGCCGTTTGCGGCTGCTGTGTGGCTGGCGGTGGTGGCGGCATATGATAGTGAGGCGGTCCGTTGCCACCCGGTCCGGGCGGGTAGCCGGACAATGGTGTGAAGAAATTGCCATTGATCTGTGAAAAGTGTTAAATATTTCGTTAAAGACGTGGCAAAAGAGCGTAAGCGCGACATCCCATACATTAAGAACAACGCGTGTTGTTGTCGTTGTTGTAGAATCGGAGGATGTGGCATTTTTTTTTGGTTTTTGAGACTTCATTTTAACTACAATTGGCAATGTTTGCGGCAAGAATAACACGTCGCCTCTTCTGCACAACTATCTATAGCCACACAGAACGCGTCGTTGATAACAATTTTTACGAGCTTACTAATTAATTGGCAATTGTTATCTGCTGCGAAAGTAAAAGCTTTTTTGAGTGCACGTCAATGTACACAGACCGCGAAATCAGCTGCTTGTTGTTTCCGCAGGGGAAAGAATACTAAAGAGCGATAAGGGGAGAGGTCGATAACACAGTTTGTGCAAAAGCTAACCGCTACACAACAAATGGCGTGTCGTGGCAGGCACCTTTGTAGCAGGCGCAGATCAGTGCTGCCAAGTGAAGCGAACATTTTTGAATTTTGCACGCGATGTTATCACAAAAATTGCGCTAAAATTACTTAATTATACGCAAAATGGTATTGCACCACTTCTAGTGGCTCATTAAAATAAACACCAAAGTGCTGAGTGGTGAGTGCAGAGCCCACATGTACTCGCAATTTGCAAATTGCGCAAACCGGTTGATGATTGATAATTTTTTGCACTACCAAACACCAAACACCAAATAGCAAACAGCAAACAGCATAAAGGCAACAAGAAATTATTATGCCAATTTTACGTTTTGCGTGCAAAACATGACTAGACTGTCGACTGACTTATGCAATGCCAACTAGTGGGCTTGCAAAAAAATTTGTTCCGCCTAATTGTCGGCACTTCGCTTTCGCACAGTCGCCTTCCAGGTCCAGGGCAAATGAGGAATGTTTTATAGTTTAGTTTTATTGCTAACAAAACGAGACAAAAGCGTTAGCGTTAGCGTAAGCGTTGGCTATGGCTATTGCTATGGCTTTGGAGCAGCTGGTGGTAGCCACAAAATGGGTCAAAGTTAATGAGTTCGGCTTCGCACGGCTCCGAAACGGAAACATTCCAAAACAAAAGGCCGCACACCAACTAAAAACAAAAGCGTAAACAAAGACCATGATGTGGCTTAAAAATGTTGTTAACTATAGTTTTTGTTTGCGTGTGTGCTTGTGTATGTGTGTTTGTGCAAAATGCGAAAAATGGCAACTGGAAAAATTTGCATAGATGATGGCTGAACAATTTGCAAGGAAAAACATAAAAGTCAGCAAGTCTTCTGCAACTTTGTCGCTGCGACAGTTATTAGGTCGTCGACGCATAATTAATTGCTATGGTGGGTGGGCGCTGTTTCTTGCATAATTCCCCAACTATGCAAATTAGCATACAATAAAAACTATAAACATTTCAACAGGGCGCACTCACAGAGCGCAGCAAAAACGGCCAATTCTTTTGCCAGCCATGTTAATTAAGTCAAGAAAACCCCAACACAAGCACTTTCATTTCAGCAACAAAGCGTGACGATTACAACAGCTATGGCATATGCATAAAAGTAGCTTAATTGAGGAGAGAGGTGGGACACTATTACTATACTGTTCTTCAATCTTGTCATGATTTATTTATTTTAACAACTCCTAAGCGAATATTTCGTACCAGAATTGTTAAGCATTGCTAGGAAAATAGCAATTTATTCATTGCCAGTTATATTCATTTTAAATTCATTGTTTCGAGTATTAAAACAATGAATTATTCTTAAGCGTTTAACTTTAAAAATCCGTACGAACGAAATATCCAATGCACATTCAACAATGGCCTCGTTTTTTGTTTCAAAATGCAAGTCCTACACCCTTCATTTTCCAACTGCGATAGCACTCCAGAGGCTTCTGTTTTAAAAAATCTCTCAATAGATTGGGGTATGATGAAAAAATAAACAAAAATGAATCGCATATTGAATTCAATTGTTTTAAAATGATAATCGCCAGAGCTCTGTATTTAAATTGTCATTATGCTCGAGTGTGTCCGACGGACGCTGTCATGATTTATGCCTCATTACAAAAACAACAAAAGCAATCGACTTACATGTGTACATATTAGTTGTTATCAACGTGGTGCGCCGTCGATATAAACGCAATAAAATAAATCATGAAAACAACATTAATGATTATAAAAATTAAATGTCAACTAACTGTTGTCGGAACTGAGCACAGGAAGCCGTAATTATTGAAAATTATAATTCAAAGTTGCCTTTTTTTATTATTTAAGGTTAAACAATTTTAATTGGGATTGATAATGGAATAATAAATCCATATCAGCGTGGGCAAAAACAAACCGAAACAAAACAAGCACAATAAATAGACGGGGATTTTTATTAGGCAATAGAAACTAACAAGCGTTCAATTTGTAAAAATAATACAGCAATAGAACATGTAACAGTAAATTGATTAAAAAATTAATTAAGGGTTATGGGGCTTGAAATTGTAAAAAAACTGTTGTGTTGAATTAAAACTATTATATAAAGCAATGAAGTATAGTGTATACGAGTATATACCAATTTTTAGAGCTGATTTGAGCTATTTCCAAACTAGCTTAAGCTGCCATATTGGTAACAGAATACTTGTTTAATAAATTGTATATACATTTAAAAAAGAAAAAAAAAAGATTTGAGTTAACGTGTTTGTATGTTCTTTTTTTTTTTTTTTTTTTTTTTTTTTTTTTTTACATATATACAATTTATTAAACTAGTTTTCTACTACCAATATGGCAGCTTAAGCTAGTTGAAAGTTAGGGAATACAAAAGTTGTCTATAGTAAGCATCTATAGGACGCACTTATATCTATGTACATATATACAATATTTACAATGTTTTACATTAGAAATGAAATTATATTTTATGATATATATTATATATTTTATACAAGGGATCTTGTGGGGAGATCCTTTGGATGGCACTTCTTCAATCTTCTCTTCTTAGGTTTGGACAGGAGCCGCCTCGCTAGTGCGTTGGGGTGACTGCCGAGTCGCTTCTCGTAATTGCTTGCGTGCATTTGAATGACATCGCCAACCTTGGGGACACATAAGTCTCTTTCGATGTCCCTAGTGCGCATATACCAGGGAGCGTTGCATATTTTTCTGAGTATTTTAGCTTGCGCAACTCTTATTTTATTTAGGTTCGATGCAGCGGCAATGCCATAAATTGGTAGCGCATACTTCCATATTGGACTTAATATGGACTTGTATACTGTCACCTTACTGTGCAGAGACAGCTTGTTGCAGGGTGCAAGCAGCCATGCCATCTTTCCGGCTTTTGCCATGACCGATCGCTTGACCATTGTTGTATGCTTGCTGAAGTTGAGTCTTCTGTCCAGAATTACACCAAGATATTTGTGCGAATTTGTATGACTGAGCGTGGACCCCAACATTGTGATATCTCTGCATGACGACGGCCTTGTTGTAAATGTGACATTCGCACACTTGCTGGCATTGATACCAATGTTCCAATTCAGAGCCCACTTCTCGAAACTACTTACATACTGCTGTAAGGCTTCCGAAGCTACATCGATATCTCTGCATCTGGTAAGCACCGCAGTGTCGTCTGCGTAAGTAGCTATTAGTGCGTCATCCTCGTCTACTCCAAGGATCTCTTGCGGTGCAGGCATATCAGCAGTAAATAATGTATACAGGGTAGGACCGAGAACACTGCCTTGGGGCACTCCTGCACAAATTGAGCGTCTCGTGGATTTCACTCCATCAACAGCAACTCTGAAGCTTCTGTCCCTTAGAAAGCTTTCGATGAGTTGAAACAATTGAGGAGTTAGTATGCCTTTCAATTTGCAGAGGAGACCATCATGCCACACTCTATCAAAAGCTTGTTTAATATCCATAAACACAGCCACTGAGTACATCTTTTGCTCCATGGCTTCCAGGGCGAAGTTGACCACACGGTGGAGCTGTTCCGGTGTTCCGTGACTTCTTCGAAATCCAAATTGCCATTTTGGAATTCTGCGCGTCACGGCTTCGAGCTGGAGAATCCGGTCCAGAATCACGCGTTCCATCATCTTCCCGAGGGCAGGTAGCAGACTAATCGGCCTATATCCATCTACTTCAGTATGCTGTTTCTCTGGCTTTGGAATCATCGTAATTAGCGCCATTTTCCAGCAGTTTGGAAAGTGCCTCAGCCTGAGTATGTTATTCATGAGCAAAACAATATACAGCAGAGCCCTTGTGGGGAGCAGTTTCAGCGTCCTGTTGTCTAAAAGGTCTTCTCCAGGCGCTTTTTTGACCTTTAGATTTTTTATCTGCTGTACCACTTCTTGCAGTGTAACTGGGCTTGCAGGCAAGGCCATTTGGAATGGCATCTCCAGCCTAAGCTCGACTACCCTTCGCCTATCTGCTGATGTAAAGTCAAAAGGCTTAAATCTTTCCTCTAGGCTGTTTGCAAAGATTTCAGCTTTCTGCTGACTGGAATAGCTCCATCCGCCTGAAGGATCCTTAATTGGAGTCTTAGGGATGACCAGCCTCTTGAATCGCCTCGTAAGCTTCCAGAGCGAGTAATTAAATGATGCATCTGGACCAGCACTTTCCAATATGTCATCAATTCTGCCTTGTCTGATTTTAGCAAGCTCTTTTTGCAGTCGATTGGACAGTCTTTTGTAGATTTGATGAATGCGAGTATCTCCAGTTCTTGCATATTCTTTCCTGACTCTTCTTTTCAGGCTTAAGAGCGCAGCAGCCGTTGGTGGTAGACTAGCTTGACTATGTTGGGTTGGCAAGCGTAAAGTTTTCGGTGCAGCAGAAGACGCAGCCAGTGAAATGTTCTTCATGAGGATTGATATCGCGTCTTCGATATCCTCTGGGCTGTTAATTTCGACGTTCAGGTTAATTCTTCTTTCGAGATCGGCTTTAAAAACATCAATACGGGAGCCAGGTGGTAGAATATATTCCCTCTTGGGATTATATTGCGGTGCATGATGTAGCGTCGCTACTACTGGAAGGTGATCCGATGCGAGC